CAAAGCCTAGTATTCTCACACGTTCAATGTCGAATCCGTGCCCTGGGGCGGATGCGTGGGCGACTACCAAGGATAGCATAAACTGCCTTCGCACGTGCTCGTCTAGTCTCGCGGCAACCCGTCTTCTATTAAATTACCTGGGCCTCGCATATTTTCTACCATTCAGAATATCAAAGTGTTGCTAGGGCGCTGTCGTTGTGGTAGATTTATAATTAAGCCCGCATTCATTGCAAATATTTATGCTTTCGTCAATGACCACGTAGTTATCCGTTTTTGGAGTACATTCTCTCCGAGCATTGTCTACTTTTCCGTCTCTGTGTGGCCAAAAACAATGCGTGGGTGTAAACGTAACTGTGTGGAATTGGGTAACAATCTCGTTTCATTTATAGTAAATTTGTTGACCAGAGAACCAGTACTTAAATGGCCCTCTCTCTATTTTAATCGCTGCTGATGCGTTTGAGTTCCTGAAGGTCAGACGAAACTAAGTAATATGCAGTTATCTGGTCTTCACTAACTATGCGGGATCTTCATTGAGTATATGATACCTCTTCGAAGAATATACAGACGTGGTATTTGGGAGACTAACTGTATCACAACAGTTTGACTTACTCTAGGAGTTTAATGCTGCTGTAAACATTTTCACTCTCATTGTCCACTTCGCTCAGATATTCTGCAATATGCTTGTCAATGATTGTCAATTCCGCTTCCATCTTATGGATGCCTTCCAGGTGGTCCTGTAGATGTAAAAGAGGGGCCCGCATTCGAAAAAGATCCGGTTCTTGAAGAACCAATCCAGACGTAGGAATCTGTTCCATCGCTGTTAATTAAAATAACGTAATTGAATCACACGTTCAGAGGCCACCACAATTAAAAACGAGCGTTCATCAAGGTGTCTTGAAGTACCGTTTTTGTTTTAAATTGACATACCATGTATCATAATTACTTTTCTTTGAAGTTTTTCAACGGCAGCTTGAAGTCTTCCGTCATTTAGACCAGAGTTTGGTAGAAGAAGCACCATATCTTGCAGAAGATCGTTCAAAGTATCATAGTTGGTACAGTAGAGCTGCTGGAAAATGAAAGCTAAAAACAGTAAACAGCTCATCAGGTGTGAGTAAATAGAGGGAAAACTGACGCAAACAAATCACAGGGTACCTCCTCAGAAGCCAGTTGTGTTATGAGCATTGTGAAGTTCTCGTACAGGCGTTGTCCGTCACGCTCCAGAAGTTGAAACCAAACAGTACGGCACTTCGATTTGACTCTATAGCAAACAGACAGAGGATCAGCATTTTAATATGAATTCCAAATCGCAACCAGTGGGCATATCAGCGAGAGTGCACCGTCTGCGACTTACGCAATGGCTCGATTGGTGGCTTCAAGGTCATTTCCAGTCAACCAGAAGCAGACAGAGGGAACTTCAGCAATGCCAGTGGAAGTCTGCACCTTCCAGAGCCGTGCGTCTTCGCGAGTGTCTATCAGGCGCAGATGCTCACCCTGCTGAATGCGGTAGTTGGGGCCAACAAGGCTCGTCATGGCCCTCACCATGACTGGTCTTTCGGTTCGGGTGCCGACAGTCATGCCATTGGCCACTCCACCGAGGCGGAGACGCATGGGCACAATGTGGCTGCTGCGCTCCACCAGAGCCTTGCTTCTGTCCCACAGATCGCGCATGACGTCAAGTTGTTCCTGTGGAAGGAATGAAAACCACGGTGGTTTTAATACACATTACCAACTACTGTGATTTTTTAAGTAGGTCTTGTCTTGTTTCTTACCTTATTGGATACACCGTGCACTTAAGCGTCCGCAGTAGCCACAAATGCGTTTGTTGTCGTAAGCGTACGGTATGAATGAAGTGAATTTTAAAAATGACCAGCTAAATCTAACTTGCTCTACGGACTATCAAATGTGTTCTATTACAGCGGCGCCGTCTTGATTATGGGTAGGAACGCTCTGTGTCTTTAACGAGCGTTCAAGGCATTGATGGACTATTATGGACTAATGCTTGGTAATAATGACGATTCCTCATTATCAAAAGAAATATGTTTTTGGGGTTTCAATAGCAGTGACCAAGTTATTCCATAATTTAATTATTTAATTAAATAATATTTGGTTTGATATGCTACTCAGGCGAACAGCAACGACCAATAAGCCCGCCGACGGACGTGGGGAGGCCGACAGGTATATTGACATACCTACCATTTCGCTGACCCCAAAGGGGATGAATGTCACGCAAGCCCGCCGGCGGCCAACCACCGGGCGAATTAATATATGCAGCAACAATCAGGCGGGTCAAAGTTCACGCGTCCAGCACGCGTAGAATAGGAGGCAAGACTGTCTGAATCACGAACACCAGACGCAGCAAATACAATATTCTGAAAATGGAGACGAGAAGGGTAGCGAAACGTTAGTTCAAATATGCTTCAGTCCACGAACCCGCCCCTCTTCTGCTTTTTCTTCTTTTTCTTCTTTGGGGTGGTAAACGCAATACAG